CTACATCAATTTTAAAACACTTTGGAAAATAATCCTAATGACTTCAAGGGGATTTACTCCAGGGGAATTGATATTGGTGCACTGCATCCCTGAGCGAACCAGCAGTAGCGGCAGCCAGAACCCACCCCTGAATGATAGGACTTATTTCTGAATAGTAGATGCCTAATAACACGTGCATGGTGCCTTTAATTGTGTGTTTTGCCTCCAACCTCACCCTGGAAGTACACCAATATCAATTTCCCTGGAGTAAATCCCCTTGAAGTCATTAGGATTATTTTCCAAAGTGTTTTAAAATTGATGTAGCTTTTTCTTAAAGGCAGAACAGCTCAAAGTCCAACTACGGTTGGCAGAAGATACCTATGAAGATGTTCACAAAGAACTCACTGAGCTTCAGCAGAGACTGCAGGAATCAGAAGAGGCTTGTGATCAGCGACAAAAAGAGCTACTGGAATTTCACATGGCTGTAGCAGATGAGAGCAGAGAAAAGGAAGCACTTCAGAAGTCCAATGCTGACCTCAGAGCAGCTGTCAAAAAAACAGAGAATGAGAAGCTCAGGTCAGCAGACTTGGCACAGTGTCAGGCTGGGAGAAGAAGCTTATACACATTGATGGAACAGACATAGTGTTTTTAGAGATGACTGATAATAAACACTTGACCTCTTGTAGACTGCAGAGAATCAAGGAAGAACGAGAACAGAAGATTGCCATTCTGGAAGAAGCAAAAGCCGCAGTTGAGGTAGAGGTGGGAGAGCTCCGAGTAAATCTACGGGAAGTAGAGAAGGCACACATGGAAGCCAGAAGGGAGCTTCAGGAGCTGCGCAGAGAGGTAGCTTACAAACAGACTTTCTCGTTGTTCAATTCCGGTCCAAGAATGTAACAGGTTAATGGAGAGAAACACTTGACCTGATCAATGGAGGTTAGGAAGGATGCATGCAAGATCATTTGGCATTACTGTTAACTCCTGAGATTGATACCTAAGTAGAGTGAACTGTAGCAACTGCAGTAGCACCATCCCAAATGTACTTATTGCTATTATGGAAATTATCCTGATATCATGTTTGCATGTAATGACTTTCTCTTCAATTATGATGTAGTTCATCCCTAGAACTTCTTTTCCTTTTTGGGCCTTCCTGATATCATGATAGATATACAACAAATAGGCAGCATGTTCTTGCTGAATAATCTGTTAGTTTTCCATTAGGCTTCCTATGATTGGAAATTCCAAAGATACAGTCAATCATGGCAATTAGAAGGAGTTACCGATTATGGCAATACTTCTTTTATGCAGAAGAGTCCACATGTAGTTTGGGAATTTGGGGCATGTATTCTGTATTGAAGACTATCTACATTCAAATTCTTCCTGCACAGGTAAAATCTCTGGAGAGCAAGAACAGCAAGAAAACCCAGGAAGTCACTGAATTACAACATCAGTTGCTGCAAAAAGAACAACAGGACCAGCAGAACAGCAAAGAGGTCCTGGATCTCAAACAGAAGATATCTACTCTAGAGATTGGCCATGATTCTGCTCACAAGGAGGTAACAATGGCATAATAACAAAGAATTATTATTTAATGAAGAAGAATTGAAGAGGAGGTTGATAGCGAAAGAAGGCAGCATTTTATGAAAGAGTGTAATGGAGATAAGATGTGGTATAAACTGCATATTTAATGGGATGATATAAATATGAAGACCAATACATATAGCAATATAGTATTTTTATGTGTAGTGAAGGTGAAGTGTCCTTTTAAGTTGAGGTTGACTTGGTGACTTAGAAACATAGAAAATTGATGGCAGAAAAAGACCCAAGGCCCATCCATGCAATTTTCTTAACAATACTGTATGCTAATAAATAATCTTCCACTATTTTTTTTTCAGAATTTTCTTCCTCATTTCCCTATCTAAACCACAATTCTGCAATTTTCTGGAATCTCTCCTCCATGTAGACATTGCCCTCATGACTTTGTTTCCTTCCAGGTGATGAACTTGCAGAAGAAGCTGTCTTCTGCAGAGGTAAAGTCCCAACTTCAAGAGCAGGATTTAAAGCACAGCTTTGCAGAGAGTTGCATCAAGGAGAAGAAGTGGAAGGATGAACTCCATAGCCTGGAAGTGAAGCTTCAGGAAGCAAGCAGGACAAACGAGAGTCTCCAGCTGCGTCTCAGCACCTGTGAGGGATGCATCCATGGTTTAGAAACAGAACTAGCCAAAACTGAAACAGCCAAGAGGGAGGTTGAACTGAAGTTAGTGGCACTCCACTCCACTCTCCGTCGCACACTGGGACTTGGAAGCCGGAGTCCATCTCCCCAACGATCCTCCTCTCCAGTCAAAGGTTATTTTTAAATTCTTTTCACTGCTATGGGCTAAATTAGATTAGTCACTCAGAATCTGTTGGAGTGGGCAGCTATAATAGATTCATAAATTTAATGAAATAAACAAGCAAACAACTTGAAAATTGCTATATTTTGATTCTTGGAAATGAAACATTCTAAGGGTCAGTCTTTATATTGTATAATTAAAGCTTTAAAATATGATTTATTGAATAAATACATAGTTGATTAGTGGCTAATCCATAATTCATGATTTACAAACTACAAAGGCAGAATTTGAAAAGCATACTAATCAAAACTATGTATTTATTAGTTACTTATCTCATAGACCTTAGCCAAAAAGAAACATCATAGCTGAGAGGCAGTTTGAAAGCTTTATGGACAGTGAAGGTACAGCCATCTGAGAAGATGTAGGTAGCTAATTATGATAATATCCTCTCCTTAGGCAACAAAAAACTCCTACAAATAAAAATATATGATCTGTTAGATATCCTTATTAACTAAACAAATGAATAAATCCTATATCATGTAGTCATTGAAGTCTTTTCTTCTGGAAATCGATTTCAACCTTGACTGTTGGCTGAGACCAAGCAAATATTTGGGTTTTTTATAGGAACCAGTGGACGCCAAACACCTGCATCTCGCACTGGATCACCTGAGAGGAGTCGTTCCCATTCACCATTTCGTCAAACTTCTCCCCTCAGGAGTGAGCAAACCACAAGTGAAATTGATCCAGAAGTAGTTCGAGATGCTTTGAAGGACTTCCTTCAGGAGCTGCGGGACACCCAAAGAGAGAGGGTAAGCAAGGGCATCTCTTTCAAATATTTCTTCTAAATTCTACCTCCATAAAGATCCAGAGAGTATGAGAAGGATATTGAGATGGTATAAATTCATGAACTTTGAAAAACTCATAACTATAAATTTGGCGTTTTATAAAACTATAAGAGCACATTAATTTATCACAATCTGAGTGCAAGTCAACTTTATTTTAATAAAGCTAATGCTAAGGAGTTGTGGCAAAATAGCGCCTTTCTTTTTATGCTTCTGTTCATATTTTACTTTGATACAAAGAATTTAATCTAGATATAGATAATATAGGCATTAGTATTCATATCAATTGAAGAAGTTAAAAATAAAATCTATCATTAGGTAACTATTAAAAATAGGTTTTAGATTCCATCATCCATTGATTTCCATTAGCTTATTCATATTCTTTCAAATCTTTGTGCCATTCCTTCATTCATTGGATTTATCCAGACAAAATGGATAAATACTCTAAAATATTCTAAGATTGTAATTCAATGTACAAAAATCGAGACTTACTTATGGGCTTACTCAAGTAGTAACATTTAAGTACTAGGAAGTATGCTTAAGACATAAATAGAATAGGTGTGGACTAGAGTTTCTGTTCTGCTTTTCAGTTTATGTACAAATCCATCTTAAGCATGTGTTTCTAAGTATCCATTTGAAATAATATGCCATGCTTTTTTTCAGCATCCTGTTAGCTTTAAGGGCGTTTACTATAAATTATTATCAAAGTTTCAGCATGATTATTTGAATGCCTGGAGAGCATTATGCACATAAATCTACCTAATCATTCTGGATCAAAGCCAATAATGTCTTAACATATGTAACAAATAAATTAGTCCATTTCTTTTGCTCACAGTGAAAATGGTTTATATTATGTTTTGCTATGTTTTAGCAGTGATGACCTCCATCATTGTCATCATCATCAACATTTATAGAGCATCAACTNTGGTATTTGGAACGCTGACAGCAAAGCTAGCTCATGCCATACCTTTTCCTGTGTTGTCCTCATTACAGAACACAATTACCAGCATCAACAAAGAGCTACAGAACTTCCAGGCACAATTTGAAGACGCAATTGCTGCACACCAGAAAGAGGCCAAACGCCTAAATGAACATATAAAGGAGCTGGCAAGAGAGAAAGAACTCAGTGGGCGGGAGGTATGTATGCCTCTTTACCTGTCACTTCTGGCCATTTCTTCTCTATCCTTGTTGAATATTGGTCCCTGAAAGTGGATTGTGTATCCATTTGTCAACAAGGGCTATCAGTGCAAGCTGGGAATATAAACAGATTTAAAATCTAAAAGTCTTCTGTTTCCATAGATGTTAAGATTGCTAAATGTTAGCAGAAACACCTGACAAAACATTTTAAGAAATCGGTGTTGGAGATGCATCATTTTTCAAATGAGTAATATGATTAAGGAGGAGGTTCTAATGTGATATAAATTCATAACACTGCCACATCTAGGCAAACAAATTTAGCAAGCTTTGAAACCCTGCAAACCTCTCTAAAAGGGCTTCAGCTATGTCCAAGAGCAGAATCAAACTATTCCTGAATTTGCTGTATTTGAAACTGCAGTGGAACTTTTCCTGAAGAACTGCTGAGCAGTCTGTTTCCCCCTTTGCAGAAAATTCTTACCCAGCTCTTTTCTCTAGCATATTCTCTGGGTTTCCAGGACAGCAGAACTTGAAATTATTATAGGTCAGTTTCACAATGTCTTTGAGGGTTTGGGGAATGGAAATGATTATACAAATGGTGCCGTGTTGTTCCCTGGATGAGCTTAGACCCAGGGGCTTTTATCATAGCACGTTGAACTTGTTGAAAAGCTGTCATCTGCCTGTATTCCGGATGGATGTGGCCTCCTGCAGAGCATGTGGAGTATCCAATGTGTTCCCAAGATGGGTATTGGCTAGATAAATTGGCACTCATCCAGCTAGTCAGTGCCTTTACTCCAGTTCCAACACCGACTTGCCATTGGTTAAATTGGAAGCAGAAATCACTGCCCACCCTGTCATGTCCCCTCTTTTTAATATCCAACTCTAGAGAGTGAGGTTTTTTTTTTTTACATTCTTCCAAATATCTGCAACTCTGAAAAACCTCCCCAGATGGTA